AAAATATAGATATATTTCGACTGTGTGTTTTAAACTGCACTACACATTCAAAATTCACAGAATAAATTTATTTCTGCAAAGTTGTGTATAATGTCAGTGGAAAAGTGATTTATTTGTTATTACATATACATGATATTTTATCATTCCTTTCTGGTGTAAGACTACAATGTTTTTTTTCTACTGAACTAGAAATTAATTTTATATTTTGATGTGTATTTTAGATACCAAGGAAAACGCATAAAATAAGGCTAGTTGTAAGTATTTAAAAGAAGTATATATTGAAACAGATTATTGCAAGTCACAAAATTAATGTTTTTTTATCAAGATTTTTTTACAAGTGATACGACATACAAGAAACTAAAAATACCTTTATATTTCATGCTTTATAAATAAGTTATATGACATATACATTTATTATAAAATATATACAATATACAAAATGATATTCATATAAATGATATACAATATACAAGATGATATAAAAAGTTAATTTTACATAGATACTTTGATGTGAATATACATAATATGGAGCACAGAATATACATAATATATACACATAAAGCACATGAATAAAAGTATTTTGTAGAAATTAGAATATGAATGTATGTAATTAAATAATATAAATGTTTGCAAAAATGTTGCAAAATTTATGTATAATACATACACTTTTTTATCCTTCGGAGTGCCTTCAACCCATTTTTTTCAGCCGGGTTTCGTAGCACATAACCCAAACACACACACACGCACAACTAACACACACATAACTAACCTAAAAGATTCTGTATATGACAGATAGCACTGAGAACTGTATAGCGCCTCTATCCCAAAATCTCGGAACTAATCTATAGCTCTTTTTTACCTTATTCTTTCTATATTGCACACATGCTTTACATAAATCTGGAAAAGGGTGGCGTTTTGAAAATAAGTCTCTAAGCTCTATTTTTTTGGTTTTCCATTATTGTTTCATACGCTCTTCTTCGGCACATGGTCTTGTTTTGCAGATTGAAGCAGTATAATTTTGATATAAAAGATATAATTCTTTGAGGTGACATTGTCGGTAAATTTTCAAAAATTTTTTTATTTTTTGGTTTAAATTTGACCAACTGCCGAAAGATTAGCATATGTACTTTATTTACACCAAAGGATTTGTAATTCTATTAAAGCAATAAAAAACGCCACCCTTTTTAGAAAATTGAAGTTTCGGTCGGTAACAATATGACTTCAGCATCCTCTTAATATTTTTCTTATCCCGAAAGAAAACTTTACTACCAATTTGATTGTTGGAGTTGAAATAAATTTTAGCCATTTGTGTTATTATGAAATGATTGGTATAGTGTTAGTGTTTTAATAGTGAAATATTTTATGAGAAATAATGAGGGAACGTGAATAAAGACTGGTAGGGAGCGAATGCCGTTCTTTTCAGCCGCCCCCGCCTGGGGCTGTTGAACGTAAGAAAGTCATCTCTGTTCGCGTATGCAAACGGTATTTCTCGCGTCACGCTTCGTATATGGCAGAAAGCATAGACCTAAGGTAATGGGGTTTTACGTTGCGTGATAATGGAGTCTTAACGCACCATTATCGTTACGAGTTGCAAACTATATTACCCACATTATGTGTTGCGCGTATAACAAGAGCTCTTCTCGACTTTTATTAACAATTAATGCGAATAATAAAGAACGCGGTTATGCAGTGCGACTATATTTTTTTACATTAAGTAAAAAATAAATTAGTTGCAAGACACGGTCAAAAAAAATTATTTTGCTTATTGTAAATAATATTTATAGAATTTTAAATAAAAGTTACATTTACATATGTGCAAAATTCCTCAGATTAAAAATTTCCATGTTAAAAGAAACATAAGTTCAAAAATCATAAAAATTTTGCCAATTAATTCCAAAATTATATTTTTGCAAATAAAATTCTAATTACTTGAGATAGAAATGTTTAATTCAAGAATACTAAAATTTTTTTATACTATTGCGGTTTATTGCTTTTTTGTCAAAAAAATAGATTATACAATTATAGAAAATAAGTAAAATATCTTTTATTGTTAACGAGAGACATTGTTTTGAAACAAAAGTAAATCTTAAATATAATATTTCGAATTGAAATAATTGGACTGCAGTTTATAAAATTTATTATTTATATATTTAATAGGTTTTAAAATTCTAGAATATCAGTAATCTTCTTAATAAAGTAAAATAAAATATTTTTAAATGATTAAGTTTCAAGATTTTCTGTTATCGATTTAATGTCTTCGACAATGACATATCAACGATATTTACTATTTGCCATATGCTTTACGTAACGAGAGAGAGAAAGAGATACGATCGCTGGTAAAACCGCAAAGAAACACAAAAAGTGACATGCGATTCTTGAAATAACAAGACACAGCGTCAGCGTTTCTTTCGCGCAAAGAAAAAACGAATATAAATCACATTGGCGACACATTTCTTCCAGCAGTGCGATAATCGGTTATTACGCATTTGTTTTCTGTTCGATCTGACACAAGCGAGATAAGATTGCTACTATTTAAATATATGTATACGTAAATGAAATTTTTTGTTTATGTTTTCTGTCTTTTTAATATGATTTGTACATTAATTAAGTTAATTATGCAGAGTAGGCAATACAAACAGAGTTGGCAAAAAATTTTATATTTGTATCATAATAGAAGGAGAGAAAATAATAAGAATTAACTATCCAATAATTTTAATTTAAAATTTGCGTAGAATAAAGAGTGTTGTTATAAAACGAAAATCAAGTGATAATCTTTTTGAGTGAAACATAATTTAGATGACAAGTAAGAAGAAACGAAATTAAATGAATGAATCACAGAGTGATCGTTATAAAGTTATGTGACAAGTGGGTAATAATTTTTTTATTTGAATAATTTCAAGATGAGCTGTTTTGTTTTTTTTTTTTTTTTCCAATTCCAAGAATTTATATTACAAATTTTATATTTGTATCATAAACCGGGATATTACTAAACTCTCTAATGTAAACTGCAATTATTAACGGCATTAATGTTCGAACAAGAGAAAACATAGTTGTTAAATTATCTTAAATTAGATTAAATTAATTATTATCCACTAAGATCTATAATCGAGCATCAAAGATATAAGAATGTGGAAACTATATTACACTCACTCTGATAACGTTGTTGTAATGCGAGCCGCTGATGGTTAAAGAAGCCGCCGTAGCACAGGAACCTCGGCAGAAGTACGCGTGATATCCGCTCGGATGTAGAATCCATTCACTCCAACCAATATCCTTAAAGTTAATGTAGAGATCATCCCTACAGCACTCCTTCATTTCAGGTTGGCAATTTGAGTTTCTTTTGGGTCTGTTCTTCTGCGGCAACGGCGCCGTGTGGATTACTAAGAATGGCTTCAAGGTTTGCTCGATTGATACTGGCGCGCTGTCACGGTCAATCGAACAAGTAGTACAAGCTATCTGAATAGCGTGGTTTAGTCCCTGTCGACCTACCCATTTCTTTACCATGAATTTCATGTCCGTCTTTACCCAGCCCTCTGAAAGAAAACATCAAAGTCTTGATAATTTTGCGATGTGCAGTGCTGCATTCCAGAGAAATTCGTTGCACATTGTGAAATCAGTTTCAAAATGTTTTATTTTAATAAGGAAAATCGTCCAAGTGGCCTCCTTCGACTTTGGAAGGCGTGGAATATATTAGAATAACTAAAAATAAGAAATATGTTATTTTATCGTTACGAATTTAAAAATTTTTTAATATTAAATCATCTTTTACGAGTAATATAATAGAAACTAAATTACAATTCTTATTCTCATTCTTATATATTATACATCTTATTTATATTAAATCCGTCATTTACTCTTCACGATTTTTAAATATGATAATTATCTTTTCCGGTACAAATTTGCAAAATTTTAATCTAAACGTTTAACAATCAATTTCAAATCCCGTGTCGGTAAGTATTAGGAGATATATAACGTTATATCAATCGATTGGGATATCACGATATGAGAAAATTATCCCGCGTCATTCGTATGAAATTTCCGGTGTCGGCCGAAATTGCGATATGCAACGAGAGATAGGTTCGCAAAGTGTCTGCAGTGCAACATCGCAGGGTGATGAAATTTCGCTGTGGAAGATTTCTATGCGACGTGGGGATTCGTGATAAACGGACGAGGGGAATGACGGAACGATTCTGTCCGCCGCAGGAATATGTATAACAGTTTAAGAATATACTTTTTCTTACGGACGTAGAGCGTGATAAAACTGTTCTCTAACCTATTTACTTACCTCTGACATCGGTCTCCAAGATTGCCATGACAGTGTTCTTTTCAAAACTACCGCCCAGATCCCAATGATCCAGCTCAGATATTACGAAGGTCTGTTGGAGCTCATCGTCATTCTCGACCTTCTCTTTGTAAAACCAGAGCTCTGCCGAGGTCACATCGACGAACAGCATTTCGTTCGGCAAGTAAAACGTAAAACAGGCTGCCGGATTGAAGCCCGTTATATGATTTGAGCTCTGACGGCATTTTGTTGAATCGGCTACACCTGCGAAACATGCGAAATTGTTGGAATCGTTTTTCAAAAAAAAAAAAAAAAAAAAAACAAAAAAAATTGTAACAAAATTGTCGCACTGTGAGATTTTATTTAAGAGATATTGCAAAAATGAGTCAAAATACGATAAATTCATTTTTTTCGTTAAATTATTTGATTTCTGACTTTTGAAGCTCTTATACATATTTAGACGTGAAATGTGAAGCATATTTGTGAGATATTTTAAAGTACAAATAAACGTTATGATATTTAAAAGAAAAATAATAAAATATTAAAATTGTGGATTTTTATATTCCATTATCACTTCAGGAATATGTATAACAGTTTAAGAATATACTTTTTCTTACGGACGTAGAGCGTGATAAAACTGTTCTCTAAATAGAAAACGGCAAGTTTGTTATCTCTTACTTTCAATGCTACCGATAACAAATATTTTTTATTTGACTAGAATACGTTACACGGCTATTCTGTTGCTTCTTTTTTTAAGGACAAACACGTATCTGCGGGCTACTTCATTACAAACTAATTTAGTATACTAACGAACGACACTAGAGACTCATTGTCAGTCGAGACTTTTGAAAGTGCACTTTTGATCGAGTGCGATCGGCCTGCAATTTACGGCGGTGTTCGAAGCAAGTCTCAAATGGAACCACAATTATCTGGAAAAATGTGCTTTAAAAGGCCTTCGTAGCCGCAACAAAGGAATATGCAACACGGAATATTCCTGCGCGAACACGTGCAATAAGTGAGTATAAAGTTAAACAGAATATCAATGATTGAATTATTCGCGTGAGCAATCAAAAGAAATCTATATAAAGAATTACTTTGAGAAGATTTAATTTGACAATTATTTATGACTACATTTCCTACGAATATTTATTTATCCATGATTGATAGCTTCTTCTTATTTCTTTTTCCGTGATATACATATATTTAACGAAGATATTACAATTTATTGCAATACACGGTTTTTAACATAGAAGTTTTAAATTAATTAATACAATTTTCAAGTGTTTTTTTTTAAATCTTTAGTATTAATTTCTAAATAGCTTTTTAACAATTTTTAAATGATTAAAGTCGGTTCGTAATTTTCTCTGTTTGTGTAATTCAGAAAATAGCACTTCAAACTTTTTTACACATTGGAAACACATCGACTGTTTCGCGACAATCTGCGATGCACTACCAAGCGCGTCGGAATTATTTCTGGACGGATTCTCGAGCGATTAGCGTGTCTGATAATTGTCACTTCCTCATAATTTATAACTAGAATTATGCAACGCCAAGCGTCAGAGTGAATCCGTATTGTTACATAACGCGTGCCAAACGTCAATGCTAGCACATTTTATTTTTGTCACATATCACGTGTTTTACATCCGCTTGATGCGCATTGCATTTTCTGAGATAAAATAATATCTATATATTTCGTTAAAATACGCAAATAGGAAAACCATTCTTATCTAATTACTTTTATCAAATTATTAAGTTCAAATAATTTTTTAGATAGAAATCGTAAAAATCACAATTCTCGCATCGTACATATAAAGCTTCTCTAGCCCTGGATTCTGTTAAAAATGCGCTCGTATTGATTTTTCCAACGCGTTTCGCGAAGTTTATAAGTTTTTCATTTATACGACATATTCAATTTTCGCGTCAAAATTTTGCGGATTCCATATATTTTCAGAATATTCTTGAGCGTGCACTATCTTGCGATGTTGCGACTTGGATACGACAACGCGATGAATACTTCCGGTTCACTGATCTCAACCTCATCACCGTAATCTGCAGCTCTCACGCTGAAATCGCTGTGGGTTAACGAGGCCAAATGTTCCGCGTCAATATTTTGAGGTCTCGTGTACGACTTACGTGCGTGTGCATGTGTGATTTGCAGTCGCGCGATGTATTCGTACCGGAATTAGATAAAAAACGAATTGGACTACGCCGGGTTGACTGGCACAATTATCGTACTGTAGAAGATATAAAATATATTTTAGGTGCCAGAGGGGATTAACGTGTTGTGATTGACTATGTTGTGAAAAACATGATAACACGTTGTATTTTTTTATCTGATATTGGCGTATAATAATCTAGCGAGTACAACGAATCTTTACAAAGTGAGAATTTATACAATGAGAATCCGCAAAATGCAAATGGCAAAATCGCGTATTGATTATGACAGAATGAAGAGAGCTATATTGACAGTGTGATAGAAGTACGTGCAATGCTTGAGAAATCAAGTCATTGCTCGTCATGATCAAAATGACGATTATAAAAAAAATGTTTGCATAAATTCGAGCAAGATTGGAATTTGATGCTTCAATTAGCGTAAGCAAACGAAGAGCGCAAAGGAATTGCGGGCAGAAAAAATTGACATTGGTAAATTTTGAAAATTTATAATAAAATTCTTTTTATAGAAAAATTAATAAAAAAATACAAGATAAGAATTTTATTCCAGAAGTAAAAACATAGAGTTATTATTATTAGAAAAATCGGAAAGTGTATTATAATTATAGTCAACGTTTTTAAATGCAATGTTACAATCGCGTGCGTGAAAAATATTGCAAAAATGTAAAAATTCGGGACAATAATATTCATGCGACTGATGAACGATTATATTATCATATTTCTGCATTTCTCTCAGTGGAAAAAATTACGTGTTCGTAAATTATGCATGGCTTTATTGCAAGTAGATTGCACGACAAAATATCAAAATAAAAATAGTTTTAACTATAATAATTAACTTGTGATATGTTACACTGTTTTATTGTTATTTTAAATATCATGTGTATAATAAAAATTTAGTAGACAAATAACTTCAATCTATTCAATTTTCATTACTCGCGTATTATTTTGTTTGCTTTTTTTTCAACAGATAAGAATACTTCGAAGCAACAGGGCTTAGAGCAAGTTTTCAAAATGAAAATTTTCTCAAGATTTAAAAAAATTTTGCAAGCACATCGAAAATGATTTATACGAACGATTAAAACGTCGGAACCGTGATTTCATGTTGTAATTCGAGGTAAATTTCTGCCCACGCCTCCGGGATTCATACGTGCTCCGTTCGTGCGGCTTCCGTATTTGCATCGCCGCGGAAAATTTGAAATTCATGGTCCCAGTTGGTCGCCGGCGGTATCTCTATCCAGAAGTACCGCGCCGAGAGAGAAACGGCGTCATTGTTACCGGTTCTCGTTTATTGCGAGGGAGCCGTGCAATTACGCAATATTCATATTCCCGCCGGTGTTTCTCGTCTGACTGGTCAAGAAGGGGTTGTCGAGAGGAACGACCAGCGGACTGTGAAGAGAAAGAAACGAGCTTCTCGGAGAGGTGCTTTCGATGTGAGACGGTCAGTTTTGCATGTGAATATGCTGCACGTTTAATATAAAATTGAATGCTAAATGATTAGCAATTACATAGTAAATGTCATAAAGTTGTATGTAGCAGAGTGAAATCTCGGTGTCGCGTAAGAAGGTAAAAATTTAACATTTTGCAAATTAATAAATTGATTTAATAGTAACATTAGCTTTAACAGCTAATCACAGAAATAGAAAATTGTTACATTAATATTAAAAAAAATATTATTTATAAAGAAAATTATGTACTGCATAAAGAGCGTGTATACATATTATACGCAATTACTTTATGTGTTACCAGATAAAATTTTGTAATAAATTGCATAAACTTAACGCAATTTATTGCAAATTTTGTTCAGTTATAGAGCAAGCACAATAGTTCATTTGCGAATTTAGACTTCGTCTGTTGTCTTCCGAAAAAACGTGCACGCTCGATATTCCGAAATTTTGTTTTGCTTTTGAGGATTGCACCATGAGGGAAGATGCGCGCACAATATTCGCGAATAACGCGTATTTTCTCACGTGTTTTTCATTCTTTACCTTTTGCTTCATTTATGCATCACACACGGGCTTGAATAACCGTTCATTAGTAGTCTATCGCGTGGTCGAATGTTCTCGCAATAGCCTGCATATAACTATGCTGAGAAAAGATAATTTCGAGATCTTATTTCGTAAATTTTCAATTTATATGTCAAATGGTGTTTTAAGACTCTTTACGCGAAGTAAAATAATATTTTTTTTCCGTTTTCAATTTTATGTGAATAATTTTCTCGCCTTACACTATTTTCCTTGTAAAATTAGATTAGACGCCCATCGAGATAATTTTGACACCGGATACAGTGTATATCGCGACTGATTCTACTACTATTTAATCTGTTGATAAAATAGCTTTACATTTTATTATTGTGTGAAACTTTACTATTTAAATGAAGAAAATATGACAGATATATATCATTGCTTCATTCAAGAAAGTAATCACGAATCACGCTGTTTGATTCGTCAAATCTTACCTTCGTTCGGGAATACGACGACCCGGTCGGTCTTCCCGTAGAAGTTTTCCGCTGGTCTTTCCGGCTCGGGTGCCCCGGGTCGAAGTTCGAGCACATTGCCGTTTATTAGCGGCTTCGGTAAGGTTGACAATGGCATTGAGACCTCGGGCGGCTTCGACAACCGCAGTTTCTTCAGGATCTGCTGTTTCACGTACTCCACTCTCAGCTCAGTTAGGAACGGGTCTGGATCGATCACATTGACCTTATTTTGTGCGCAACCAGCACAGGCGTTTTCTCCGCTGGCCGCCGATACGAATGATGAGTGAGGGAGCAACGTATACATTAATCTCATCAGGGGGTTGACCTTCCACTCGGTGCCGTTGATATCACTCACAAGAAGGATAATAAAAAGTTTCTCGAATAGACGCATTTTTGCAGCAATTTAAATGTCGATTGATCGAAATTGATTTTTTAACGCTTCTTTGACTTGCCTTTTTTATTCGATTTAATTTTCAATCGACTTTATTAAGTACTGAGTTATAACGTAATCATTGACAATGTTTCACTGACATTATTGCCTCCGAGTTCGGCTGGCAAAGTGTACTTTGTCGTATAAACATACACTGTTTTCTGTGAATCATGGACAATGTATTTGAGCCAAATATTCTCGGCGATTGATCGGAAATTCTGTAAATCGTTAGATTTCCATCGGACGAGTGTCCTGATTATATTTTGACGATTCTGACGCATGGATTCTGCGCAGATGTAATATCGAAAATATATATTATATCTCATCCGAGTTGTCGATCCACATTTTTCTTTCTAAGGATTTCAATGATGTAATTATGCAATTTGCGCAATCTCGTTAATAAAATTGCAACAAGCCAGACGGGTCATTGCAGTCATCGAATTGATATCTCACGAGATTTTGATTCGTAGAACCATCGCGATTTTTCTTCTCTTCTTTTTTGTTTATTTTTACAGCCACTATTATATTTGTCCACTTTAAAGGTCAATCTGTTTAGTTCGCAGTATGAATGCGAGAGAACGTCACCAACACTGACTCGAATTGTGAACCGATTCTCTAGGTTGCTTTTTCTCTGTTCTCAACGACGCGTTTACGAAGACTGGAGGTAAATCATTATAATGATCCAGTGATGTAGTTGACTCCGTGGAAGCTATGTGAACTTTGCTCCGCGACTGTCGGAGCCAATACGGATTGGACGGGAGCGTTGCTGATATCAGCGCAAGCACGCGCCGCGAACATGCTGCCGACGTTCTGTTTGGTCCATTGGCCGGTTCCTGAATTTTTAAATCTATCTTAGTAGGTTGGAATTGATCTCAATTCTGATAAAAGGTATCTCATTCGCTGATTGATAAGCTGGTGAACTGTAACAAATACTTTCTCTTGATCAGATTAATGTAATTTTTTGATACAGTGGCAGCGCAAAGCGAGATAAGACGCATCTATATTGCAATTTTCAATAGTAGAGTTTATTTGTAGTAGGTAAAATTTAAAGGAAAAAATATAATAATTTAGTTCAATTGTGCGAACGCGGAGCGATTAAATTGCCTGATAGACGCAGAGCTGAAAGAACAAACCTGCGAACACAGATATATTAGATACCGAGAAAACAGACTGGGTCACATCATATTGAACTATGTCACTGCGGTATCATATAATGACTCAAGTCGATGTTAAGAATTACAATTGTACTGATCGTTTTTTGGCGGCGTTCCTAGACTAGTAATAAAATGTTTATATATTCGTATCGCTTGAATGCGCTTATTTGAGTTGATGACGCTTGTAAGGCGAATGTTTACCGCAAAAAGGCTGACGTACGCTTCATCGCAGATTAGTGTCAGCGTTTCTTTGAGCTGAGACCTGCAATTCGCAGTTCATTGGAGCGCTCATCTCGTTCCTCGTAGAAGATGACCTACCTCATTGACCCGGAAACGCCGAATATGATTTTTTTGAACGTACACAAGCGTATTTGAAGCGTCGCAGAATCGATTAACGTTTTTTTTGGGGTACCGAAATTATACATTTATCGAGTGCGACAAGTCGTGATCTCTTTCGAGTGCGTTGCTTTGCAGGAAAATATCGTAGCGTAAAATACAATTGCACTCGGACTCTGCGCTTTTAATTTAATAAATTACGCGATAACCGTAACAACTTCTCGTAAAAAAAGGCACTCGCAGAGAAATACTGTGCTAAGCGCTTTATCGTTTCCTACTGTTCGTTGATATCATTAATAATTGTGATGAGAGCAATCTTTACTGCGCGTGACGCTCCAGTATTTGAGTATGCAGCGCTTCTTTTTTTTCGTCGTACTGGTTTCATCAATTCGTTGGATATTTCATGATTCGTAAATTACTGACTGGTTCAGTGCGTTAAATTATTCTGTAATTTGTGCCGGACATGGCGCGCATATAATTCGTAGTTTGTACACGTTGTGCTCATTTGTAAAATCGCGACGCCTGTTTGCGTTATCTTATTATCGGTCGTTATCGAAATATATAATTTTTCGAATTGACGGGCGTAATGTCATTATTCAAATAATGTATAATAATACGTTATGTTTGTTGTTTTATCGGAGAAAAAGTTTTACCTACTCATCCGATGATATGGCAACGCGTGACAAATTGTGTCGATAATTGTGTGTAAAATATTTACTGCATTTTAAATGTAAATCTCTGCCTGCTTGTGCTACGTGGTGAAGACAGATTATTAGAAAAGCATAACATAGTAAAATATAAACTAAATATATATTAATATATAGAAAATATTTTTATTTAATGATTATATATAATTTGGTTTTCTCTTTCTCTCTGTCTCTCTCTATTTTTTTCTAATTTAAAAGATATATATATTTATCGATATATTATGTTATAAAAAAATATTTTATTAATAAATAGATTTCCGCACTTTTTTATGATAAATACTTTTACATCTAGTCATTATTATATTCACACGTAATGTTAACACAGTTTTTCATCATCTATTATTTTGCAGAAAATATTTCTACATATGTATATAACGAGTTCTTTCTTCGTGCTACCTTCAATTATACTACAATGTATTCGCGAGTTTAATAATGTGCAAACTTTTTGTTGCAAACTTTCAGGAGGATATAATATCCGATGCGTATAATGCGTAACGAGAATGATTCGTAGTGTTCATTAAAGGTGGCAGATTCAACGACAAACGGGCCTCAATAGTAGCATGAAACTTTATTATTACATCGGCAACGATAATTTAAAATTGCTGTCAGTTTCAGGTTAGCGCCTTCGTATAATGAATAACGATGAAGCAATAATCAGTGGTGAGGTAATTGGGAAACTACAGAGAACTGTTCGATCGCCTCGCTGCGCAAATGGATAAAAGTTGGTTATTTCGCGGCAATATTTAGTGCATGCAAAAACAAATGAATTGGACACATTTCTATGTTGTTTTCTAAAGAGATAAGGAGTGAAGTAGCATTTGTAAAGCTAATATTGTTCATTTTCTTCCAACATCAACTTAAAATCTTTCGTGTTACGAATTTTTAAGCTTTAAATTGATAAAGATAAGAGCAGGATGATGAGAAATGTTTTTATTATTAAGAACTGTTTAGACTGTTTAACTAGTTTTGAAAAAAAACACGACAAATATTCTTTCTCGAGAAATGGTTTTTCTTCTTTTACTTTCTTTAATCTAGTTCTGATAGAAAAATTATAATATTCTTTTGTGGAAAAAGAATAATTGCATTTATAGACAATACATTAAATTAAGATTTGCACGATTTTTTAATTAACTGTGCTCATCAATCGGACGAGTATAAATCAATTCTCTAGGCCACATTCCTTATTTATGTAATTTGTAAAATCTCAAGAACCTATATGTATTTATTTCAGTTGGATTAGCAATGTCATCAATATCTTTAAAATAGACACTACGAAGTAGCGGTACGGAATACACGAAAACACACGTTATCGAAGAAACATCAGTATTTCTATGAGGTAATTTATCCCCACTTACAATCTCTGTGAATGGAAGAGTACGTATCTCGCATATTGGCGTCCTAGACGCGCGGGGGTTAGTGGCGCATTTGTGCATTTCGCGGCCAGAGTTCGATAAATATTCACCTCTCGCTCTCGCACGGCATCGGGCGGCTGACGGCTGCAGATGCGATTTATCGACGAGTGCTTGGATACTCGATTCGAGAGGAGATGACGGACGACTGAGAGACGCCGCTGCAGCGTATTCTCGGGATAAGGATGCTCCTCCTTAGGAGGAGCGTCGCGACATGTCACGCCAGTATCCCCTTTTGTGCCGAGACGCGACAGGAAAATCCACCAGGCTTACGTTCTCCGGAAAATGCTTATCGCGTTGGATGTATGCGCGTGAGCGAAAGAAACAGAGCGTTTTGCTCGCTCTTTCGCTCCTTGCCGCGTTTCTCTAGCACGGCTCCTGTCACCCACCGTTCCGAACGATCGATCTTTGAATCTCGCTTACATGCTTGTCGGCTTAATCGATTTTCTCTCGATAGAGAACTACGTTTACGATAGAGAACGCCCGTACTCGTCGCCGTTTATCCACTTCGGCATTAGGACGCATCCCAACTCGCAAAGCGCCGCCACGATTGTTTACGACGTTGACAGCCCGTATTTTATCGGCGAATCGATGCTGTCTGACGAGAATTGATTCTATTTAACGTGTCGTACTCAAAGTTTTTGCGAGTTAAAATTCCTTTTGATTAAGCACAGGAGTAGAAAATTTAGTTAACTGATAAATAACGCTGCTCGGCATTGCTTTGGCGTTATTAATCTTTAAACGCTCCGTAATAATAATAATGCGATATAGCCGCAATTTGTAGATGTTACACGGTTGTTTACGGATATTGTGATATATAACGAGTGCTATAATTCGTTATTCAGTCCGCTGCATTATTTCTCTGTATGTACGCGTGCGCGTATTTCGGAAGCTCTTGAGGGACTTCGTCCTGGAGGACGATAAATTCTGTTGCTCTCACATTTTCCTCGTGACTCCTCGTACGTGTGAGGATAAGGATAAAGCGGACGATGAAAGCTCGCGGCATACTGAGAATCCTCGCTCTTATTTATTTTCCCCTTTGTTCACTTGCTATTCGTCATGCTGCCGCACGGCGTCGTACACGAGAACGAAATGAAAAACGCACTGAAAATGCCGAAAGTAACTATAAGTCACGTAGAAATTACAGGAAGAAATTACGTCTTTGTCCTCCTGTCTTACAGACTCGTTATTAAGATTGAAAATATTGTCGCGGCCAAATCACGCGCGTGTAAACGAGCGTGAGCAATCGGTAGGACGACTCAAAATGACATTAAGAGTGGAATCGCACAATTTTCCCAAGGCGACCATCAACTTGTTCGCCTCCTTCGAATTATTCCTGCTTGGGTTTCCCCGAAGAGATGACGGAAGGCTGTGAGAATGAGAGATAAGGGCGATTAGAGAGGAAGACTCGCGCGAAAGAAGTTCGTAAATCAGGATGTTACCTCTCTTGATCCGATTACGAACGATTATATTCCGCGTGGAGTCTCCGCGAGATTCGCTCTCGCTTGGATCTCTCAACAATAACTCGAGTCAATCTATCGCAACTTTTCCTCTTTTTCATAATTTTTTTTGTCTCTATCTCCTTGCTTCTAGAATATCAATAACAATCTTTTTAGCTAGAATATTCTTACTTCATTAACACATTCTACGAAAGAGAATACGCAAGAATTTTATAAATTTTTTTCCAGAAATTATTTCATAATAAAACAGTGTTTGAAAAGATAATATTATATGAATAAAATAATTACAATATAATACTTTATCATAATATTTTTATTAAAGTACGGTACTGTAATATTACTATTTAATTTTTGGCAGAAAAGAGATTCTATTCTTCTGCTATAAAATTTACTTCCTTTTATATGTGAAACATCGTTTTTGTATCTTCATAATCTTAAGCCGTTATTTAACAAGTGTCCGCAATCCTCTTAGTAACTTTAAAAAAAATAGATTTCGAGCTATTTTGTCGTTTCGCGGCAGCTGCGTTGGCCATTAAGCTGCCTTAAATTCGCCTAGTTCTGTAGCTTGTAAAATTTTACTGTTATTAGGTACTTTTTTCTGTTATTCCTTTACAAAAGTCGTGTAAATTTGTCAGCTTAACTTGAATATCAATTGGACGACAGAGAGAGAAGATTAGTTTAACGTTATTTTTTCTGGAAATTAAGATATATGTGTACATCACTTTAATCTTACAACAAATCTATTTTTAATTATCATACGATAAAATTTAGATTTGTAGATTTTATTTTTTCTTTCTAGATTAGTATTATTTTTTATAAATACATCATTATGAATATTTATAAAAAGATTAATAGATTTTGACGAATGATGTTTACGTTAGGGCAACGAGCTTGCAATGCCAGTTTACATCGAGCTGTCGATAGCAGTTGGTTGGGTTGGTAGGATGAGACGCAGTATGTTGCGTTGCGAGGTTACGCTGCCGGTGGGATGGATTGCGCGCATTGCCATCCGACGAACAATGAGTCGCGGTCGACCTCCGAACAGAGAGATGGAATTTGCATGGTCTCGAGATCGCATATGATGTCGGAAAATCAAGAAAAGCTTCAAACCGCCACAATGCATGCATGGACATATTACTCGTTGATGTTTTTCTATCGGGTTGTTGTATCTTGTGACGTGCAATCGTTCAAGTAAAATTTTTACTCGTTGGGACGTATGACTTGTACGTTTAATCGCCGAAACTCACGAAATGGATGGCAAGTCGCCAGATTTTTTATTTATATTTATTTTTTACCGTGTAAATGCAAAATAATATACAAAATGTTTTGTAAGATTTATATTTTTCGAGTACTCTATTTTATAATTTTTTGCATTTTGCGAATGTTTAGAGTCTCAAAAATAAACTCCTAATAGATTTTTTGTACAATAAAATAACGAAACTTCTAGTGGAAAATAACTAACGTGTAGTGGTACGTATCTTTAAAACGATATAATACGTAAAGTTTTAGAAAATATAAACTTCTTGCTAATAGCCATACAGATCTATTTATTAATTTAATCGAGTAATCGGGAATGCTTAACGCTACTTTTTTATTGTGCAAATATTGAATCTCACATTAATTAAGGAAAAGCGCGTCTACTATTTCACGATCGCGAAACTCTACCTTCGTTTATAATTTCTACTACCTAAATGTACATACGCAAATTATGCGTTCGTGGATTTACGTCACTATGCGGCACTATGTGGTTACGTGACGGTTTCGCCTGACGTTGCGTCACGCGGTTAGCGTCCATCGAGTTCTATCTATCTACCTACCTATAAATGCACGAATTGGTTCGTCCTCTCCTCTTGCGTATTATGTGTTTTCCTCTCTCTTCCTCTCATTCTCTCTCTCATGCGCGCGCGGAAAATGCCATGGAGATATGTTCCGGTTGGTCGTGTACTTCGTCTTCGAGCAGAATTTTCGATCGGGTAAAGTCTCCGCATTCTTATCGTGCCGTGGTCGTACGGTTCGATTAAATTTCCCCGAAATCCTGTGTGGTTACGGAAGTCTGGTATCTGGCATCGAGCGTCCGTCCTGCGGTCAGTGACTGTTATGTAATATATGTTCGACGATCCTTAGTAATTACCCAAAGTTTAATCGTTTGAATAGATGCAATCTTTGACCCTACAACGATATCAGACTGATTACTACTATTATATGTATATCAACAAATGTACGCAAATTTTTCTTACTTGATTTATCACTTGTCTATACATGATTTTATCGTTTCTTTCCTCGCATGAATTTTTATCATATTATTGATAAGACGTATCTCTTCATGTAGAAAAATGCATATTTATTTCCTCGTAAAAGCGTCGCAAATATTAATTTATTACACAATATTATATTCAGTAAAAAATAAATAACATCTAAACTTTTGAAGATTTTTCAATTGAAAGAGAAATTAATCTCAAACTTTTACGTAGGCCGCATAGTTCGCTATGCCGCAACGGTTTCTGTTTTTTGCTAGCCGCATGTAACCATTTTCACCCCAACGCTCACCCCACCAGTTCTTCAGGATCCACTCGGTTGGTGTGTATCCGACGATCAGCATCGCATGATTCACCGTATCGGAACTGCACTGATGATCGTCGTAGACACCTTTACTGTAATTATAAAAATGTAAAGTAATAATGACTAAAAAAATGATTTCTTTCATACATTTCTTTCGCAACAAATATTTTTGAAATATAAACATAAGAGAAAGATAATTATTTTTAATAGATAAGAAATAAAGTAAGATTGGATGATGAAAGAAGTAAAATAACATAGCGTGCGTCAAATATATTATGCAAAGTAAGCGGAATTAAGATAGAGACGAGAGAAATAAATATTTTTTTAATTAGAATACTATGTGAATAACTGACATTAAATTTACGTAAACTGTACACGTAAACTGTGCACAAGATTGCTAATGTATCATTTGTATATTGATATCGCGTGTTTTCAATCAGCATTCTTTATTTATTGACTTGAATATAGAATCTCGGAATATCAATCATTATCGCCTCGTGAGTAGTGATAATTTGTCGCAAACGCTTATGTGTTGAAAATAAATGGCCAGAAAAAATTTCTAGTATAGCTTTGACACTAAGTCCTTTAGAATTTTAAAATGATGCAAGGTTCAATGACTGTGTTCCGATGATTGAGGGTCATCGCATTAGCAGTGTGCTAGAAGATTATCGCATATGATTGAGTTAATTTCTTTAATTATATCTTTTACGGAGGTCCGGGCAAAGTTTCCAATCTTCGCACTTTTCGCATAAACATAGCACTGACATTTTAATTATCACGAGCGCGCACAGATGCATTGTAGCATTGAAACTTTATCAATAATTTAATGTTTATACAAATAAATATGTATCTGAATAATTTAATATTATTACATATATTATTATTTTTATACAGTCATAAGTATATATGAAAATTTGTTATATGACGTATATGTTATCGAAAATTTCTTTTTCCGGCAATTAGCAGATTTGACAGCAGTAACTGAAATATTAGGTCTAAAAATAAAATGCATTAAATTCCGGATTAATACGCATTTGACATTGACGTCGATTAAAACATTAACTAACTTATTTATTGCTGGGTTACGATTGATTAGTTATCTGCGCGAAAAAAAAAACTGTTTGTCACTGCCGCCTGTCCATTATCGGCAACTTTTCAGAATTTACGTCGAATGCGTCATAAAACATCGTAATACGCGCACTGCCGTTTTCCTCTTTGTAAATCGAGTAAATGTCGATCCATAAATGTTGAATATTATATTGAATGCTAGATTTCGCCACGAGTAACGACGACATAGTAAAAAGTAGATTATTTAAAATCGTCGCACTTATTGTGAATGTTGCGATATGATCGTCGTAACTCGCGTACGTCACTTACTCATTAGGAGCAATTAACACAATCGCGTTTCTTCAGAGCAAATGAAATACTCACTGATAAAGTTGAAATGTCTTCGGAGTGGCATTTATGGAAGCAGCTATAGGACCGATGGTCGCTACTGCTGCTTCCAGAGTTTTTTCGTCCTGTGCTGGTAAGATTGCCCATGAAGTTATATTAACGACACTGAGGTTTCTTTGAAATCTGCATTGCCCTTCCTAAAAATTTTCAAGGTATAACATGAGAATTATTTAATTTATTTCGTGAAATAAATGATAATCATATGATATAATTGAATATAATTTGAATATAATTAAAATAACATATTATTTCACACACACAATAAATCTATTTATTTATTTTTGTGTTATGAAAAAAGTTCTTTCGTTCGTTAACACTATTAAATTGAAGTGTCTTTCATACACTAAATATTTTCTTACGTCATCTGAACTTTGTATTCAATATATCTCACAATCAGTATTAAATTAAATCAACCGAATCAAATAAATGTTTTCTTTTCATTTATGAGAAAGTAATGATGATACTTTCAAAATTTCATAAAATTTGCACTCATTTAATATAAGTATACAAAAAGTATATGTACTATTAATAGGAGAATTACGTTATCGCTGAGAAGTTACTTATATTATAAAAAATTATCGTATTATCGTGACTCGTACAATTTGTATCTTTGTCGCCGAATTTTTCACAGGTTTTCTGAGGAAGAAACCTTGAAATTTCTTCTTTACTGCGATAATTAAATTTGTGTTGTTAGCATTATCGCTTGTACTAGTTGATAATGCATTAATGTATGTTATGGTAAGTAAAATTAAAAAAATTTACATTTATTATTTTATAATCAGAATTTAAAGCACGCGCTGTTCTTCGATAAATTTTGATAGCTGATTAATTATCATCAGTTCTAATTAAAGCTATTTTTAGCGATGTTATTGAGAATAATAATTTTTTAAATGAGAAAAAAAAAGAAGTTTGTTTGCGTGTTGTTAAACATAAGTCTAAAGTTTGTTAAACTTTGTGATATTTACTTTGTGATATTTCGCAAATTTGAGAGCGAAATTTGAAAACTACATTTTATACACGGTGTCCCAATGGAATATCGAATTGCATGTACGGCAGGTTGGAAAGGATCAGTGCATACCTCAGCCTTGTACGGATACCGAGAACTGGACATGAGACCTTTGCACTTTTCCAGATATCTCAAAGTGTTCCTGAGGGAACCGCCGGTGCAACCGCGATTCCCGGTCGCCGTGCTGCAATCTATCAACTGTTGTGCGCTCAAAGGGAGCAGCATACCGGTCTGCATAAAAATCTGTCCCTGTATACTTTCCGTAATCGAGTAAGCGTAACAACTTCCGCAGCTTCGCTGGTTTACCGGTGGAGTAATAAAGCCATATTCGCGCCAATCCAGGCGTTCTGGTATGTTGTGACGATTCTGTAAAGCTGCCGATAGTATCGGCTCATTTGACAATCGATATCTTCGACTCGGTATTAGTCTCACCTAAGACAAGTACGCAGAAAAAGACATCGTCGAATTAATTTTAATGCCATTAGTATTTTTGTAATGGATTCATATAATAAGTGCTCGTAAAAGAGAAAGATATTCGAATAGAGAATTACCATCTTCAAGATTTTGTTTTATCTTAAAAATTCACACGATAAAAAATAAATTAAATTTCTTGGAAATTAACGATTGGAATTATGATTTTGCAAATACGAATTAAAGAGCCATATTTGTCAGTAAACTTCACTGTTGGCTACCAACCATTTTACGCATGTAATGTCGAGTGTTGAGATCAGCGATATGGTTATCTCGCAGTGTATAACTATGATGTCCCACAGCGGCCATTAGATTATGTTTATAAATCTCAACGAGATTTTGTTCCCAAGCCATTCGTCTCGTGTCTTCCAAATTTCCCATATAGGTCTTATTATATTGCGTCTTTTCAAATAGTATAAAAATAATGGTCAATATATATAAATATACATTGTGTATTCATAATTAGAATAACCGTGTATAAAATGTAAATTTGTAAGATTATTAAATATTATGCACTAATAATGTTAATAGGTTTAATTTAAAATCACAATAAATATATTTATAAATTATAATATAAAAAAAACTAACCTTTCTATATTAAATAATCTTTGTAGATTAGATATTATATGATATAAACTTTATAAAGTTATTCTTATGAAATATATAAAAATAAATTAATAATCATAAATGTGAAAATATGCAAAGTTGTACTGGTATAATTTTCTAAAATTAAAATTATTTTTACACTGCATTGAATAAGAATATAAATTCTAAAAATATGTTCTAAAGATCAATATTTCGTGCTTTAAAAATATATTACCTTGTAAGTTTTCCAATAATCGTCCAGTTGTTCCGAGATTTTTGGCGGTAAAATATTCCCATTAAATAATTGAATTGCGCATGACTCGCACAGTATTAATATCGAAAGTGGTAACGCATACCATTGCAAACACATGACGATTTCGGATGAATAGATCAAAATCAAAATTTTTAATTAATTCAGGCGACAAATCCGAGTGGCGGTTATCTTGACGAACCTTACGATACTGTATAAGGTCGTAATAATGATGACATAGAATCAGTATCAGCACTTTCGAGTATTACATCATCGTACAATCGTTTGCGTTATGCTGATGCAAATTTATTTTGTCAAAATATGCGTACAATGTCAATCTTTTCGGTCTTTTTTCTTGTTAAGTGTTGGTGTCTTTATCGCGTATAAGTGTGAATACTTAAACATTTCTTAGAATGGTTACATAATTCGAAAGAGAAAAACAGTTTGTTTCAAGCAGTTTTAGTTTTAATTATTAAATTTTGTTAGTAAATTTGAGCAATTTAATCAAAAATGTTGAATCTTGATATTAAGCAGTTTTTGTCAATAAAATTTTACTGAAAATACATTACTAAAATATATATCAGATATTATTTATATTAGAAATTATAAAATGTTATTAGCGATAAACAAATTGCAATACATTTATACTTTATACATCTACTTTTTGTTTTAGCTTACCATTATATCTTAAAAATCATTATAACTTTAATTAATTCGTACATTAAGCTTTTAAATACCTTCCATAATATAAATCTTGATAAAAATCTAAATAATTTTCCTCAATTATATGATTTGAAAAATATTCATTAGTTAGAATTAGTTAGAATATTTCAATGTCTCTCTCCCAAATGTATATACAGGGTGATTCAAAATAACCTGATGTCCTTGCAATGCCATATTCTTGAGCGAATTCTGAGACAATTTTTCCTTTTACAAAATTTTGTCCGAAGCTTAGTTTTCGAGTTATAATTGAAAATAATTTGCTACTTACGAGTCCGATACAACGGACAGGCAGGGACGGTGCAATGCGTCATGAGACGACAATAAACACTTGACAGTCTCATTATACATTGCGCGTCCCTGCCTGCCCGTTGTATCGAACTCGTAAGTTGCTAC